TCGAAGTGGAAAAGAGGTGGCAAATGTTGACAAGGAGGAGAGAAATTCAACCAAAACAGTGGCTGCCCCCTTTTCCAAGCTTACGGTTCCAAGTGACAACTCTAAGGTAAGTTCTCTTGTGAATCATTCGATTACTCCAAAAGTTCCTTTTCCTCGTAGGTTTTTGAATTCAAAGAAGGAGCAAGTTTCAAAGGACATTCTAGAGACTTTCCGAAAAGTGCAAGTGAACATTCCCTTGCTTGATGCGATCCAACAAATTCCAAGCTATGCAAAATTCCTCAAAGACCTTTGTACAAATAAGAGAAAGTTCAAGGAGCATGAAACCGTGGCCTTGAGTGAAGAAGTCTCAGCTGTGCTATTGCGTAAATTGCCTCCTAAACTAAAGGATCCAGGGAGTTTTACTATACCTTGTCTCATTGGAAATCAAAGGTTTGAACATGCTTTATTAGACTTAGGTGCTTCAATTAATTTGATGCCTTTTTCTGTTTTTGAATCTTTAAATTTAGGTGAGCTTAAGAAGACTTCCGTGAGCATACAATTGGCTGATCGATCAATCAAGTATCCTAAGGGAGTGCTGGAAGACGTTTTGGTCAAGGTGAATGAGCTAATTTTTCCAGCTGACTTTCTAGTGCTCGAGATGGAGGAAGTTCCTATTCCTGGAAAAGACCTTCCATTGATTCTAGGACGTCCATTCATGAGAACAGCAAGGACAAAAATTGATGTGTATGAAGGCACTCTCACAATGGCATTCGATGAGGAAACCGTGGAGTTTAAGGTATTTGATGCTTTAAAATATCCTAACGATGATCATGCTTGTTTTTCCATAGATGTACTTGAACAAATGGTACAAGAAACATTTAGTGCATCACAAGGAGAGACGCCATTGGAGAGGGCACTCATCCAAAGCCCCGAAACAGTGAATAAAGAAGGGAACATAGCCGTACTTGAAGCTGTGAATATACTTGAGGCCTTGCCTCCCCAAAGAGGTAAGTTTAACTCTATTTTTGAGTCTCTTCCATTATCTACTAATAAGCTTGTTCCCTCTATTGTGAAGGCACCACAAGTTGAGCTAAAACCCCTTCCGGAGAACTTGAAATATGCATATTTAGGTGACAAAAAGACGCTGCCTGTGATCATTGCTTCTAATTTGAGTGCATCCGAAGAAGACAAACTAATTCGAGTTCTAAGGGAGTACAAGACTGCCCTAGGTTGGACCATTGCAGACATCAGAGGAATAAGCCCTACAAAGTGCATGCATAGGATCCTTTTGGAAGGAGAATCGAAACCCACAAGGGAAGCCCAAAGGAGGCTGAATCCAGTGATGAAAGAAGTCGTTAAGAAGGAAGTTTTGAAGCTTTTGGACGTGGGAATTATATACCCCATTTCGGATAGCAAGTGGGTGAGTCCCGTCCAAGTTGTTCCCAAGAAATCCGGAATTACCGTTGTGAAGAATGAAGACAATGAGTTGGTGCCTCAAAGAATTCAAACGGGTTGGAGAGTATGCATAGATTATAGAAAGCTCAATACCACGACACGTAAGGATCACTTTCCGTTACCATTTATTGATCAAATGCTTGAGCGTCTTGCAGGTCATAGTCATTATTGCTTCTTGGACGGATACTCCGGATACAATCAAATTGCCATAGCTCCGGAAGATCAAGAAAAGACCACCTTCACTTGTCCATTTGGTACGTTTGCTTATAGGCGTATGCCTTTTGGTTTATGTAACGCACCTGCCACTTTTCAACGTTGCATGATGTCAATTTTTTCTGATATGGTGGAGGAGATAATAGAGGTATTTATGGATGATTTTTCAGTTTTTGGTGATTCTTTTGATATTTGTCTTCACAACCTCTCTCTAGTGTTGAAAAGGTGTCAGGAATGCAATTTAGTGCTCAATTGGGAGAAATGTCACTTCATGGTACAACAAGGTATTGTGTTAGGTCACATTATCTCTTGTAGGGGAATTGAAGTGGACAA